CTCCTCCTCCTCTTCTTCTTCTTCTTCTTCTTCTTCTTCTTCTTCTTCTTCTTCTTCTTCTTCTTCTTCTTCTTTTCCTTCTTCTTTCTTCTTCTTCTCCCCTTCTGCCCCTTCTTCTTCCTTCCCCTTCCTCTTCCCCTTCCCATTCTCCTTCTCCTCCCACTCCTCTTTCTCTTCCTCCTCCTCCTCCTTCTTTTCTTTTGTTCTTTCTCTGTGTGTGCAGTGCAGGAGATTGGACTCAGGGGTTTGCACTGACCTATTTTTCTAATCCTTTTTGTTTTTTAAATTTGGGGACAGAGTCTTGCTAAGTTTTTCAGGCTGGGCTCTATTTAACTTGCAATCCTCCTGCTTGTCTCCCACAGTACTGGGATTATAGGTGTGCTCTGCCATGTTCAGGTCCTTATTACCTTCTTTCCCTCAGCCTCTTCATCCATTGTCCCAAGGCTGACTGTCTCTGCCATCAGACTTCACCTTCAGCCCTGTTTCTCCATCCCCTGCCACTGTTTGCCCCAGTAGATCTCCGGGCCACTCCCAGAGACCATCCCCGGTTTGCTCTTCTCCACTCCTCGGTGGGACTGCTTTTCAAATTGTAAAAATCAGATGCTGCCACTTCCATGCTTAAGCCCTCTTCTCAGGCTTTCCCGGGGCTTTGTAAGCAAACCCACCTCCTCGGCCTGCACAGCTCCCAGTGACCGAGTCCTTCACACGGCTCCTCTATACCTCGTGTGCCCTCCATCAGTCCCACCAGCACCCACCTGGACACTCCTCCTCCTAGCATGCCAGCTCTTGTGCCACACCCACATCTCTGCCTAGAACATTCTCTCAGATCTGACCCCTCCCTCAGGATCAGGACAAAAGTCACCCTGCAGAGAGGTCTTCCCAACCACCCTGGATCCCCACAACTCTATTTCAGTGTGGTGTGGCTCCTATATCCACGTATATGCATCTCGCTTGTTGGATTACTTGCTTTCTATCTGCCCTCTATGCCTCAGACTTGAGTGCAACCACTGAGCAAAGGGACAAAGGTCTTTCCTCTCATGTGACCCCCAGTGACTAGCACATGGGTACTTGATAAATATTTGTTGAATAAAAGGCTAAATGGGTGGACTTTAGTCAATCTTCTCATTTTATGGATGAAGGAAGTGATTTCCAAAGGGTTTGTGCCTGGCCAGGCCCCCAAGGTAGCTAGTGACCAAGCTTGGAGGGGAACACAGGCCTCCTGGTGCCACCTAAGGCTCACAGCCCTCACAGAGCAGCTTAAATTCCTATGAACTCAGTGGTTCATTGACATATTAAAATCTGACCATGATTTCACTCCTTGCCTATAATCAAGTGGTGATGATAACAGCCAGCATTTGTTGACTCCTTGCAAGTATTAACTCATTTCACCTCCCTAGCAACCTCTGAAGTAGGTACTGATATCATCTTCATTTTATAGATGATTAATTGGAGGTACAGAATGGTTAGCTCGCTTGCACAAGGGCACATAGTTTGTTGGGTAATAAAGCTGGGATTTGACCCCAGCCAGCCTGGCTGGGTATCCTGGGCAGTACTATGTTATCCTAACTAGGTCAGTGGCTCAGTGCACACATAACTGGAAATAACACCAACAGTCAAGGAAATTTATACATTTGCAAAATCCAAGCACACTGCTTCCTTCCTGCTCAGGGACCTGTGATATCATGAAAAGAATATGGTCTGGAGCCAGCCAGGCCTACGTGTGCCCCTCAGCTGTCATTATTAAGCACTGACTGTACCAGGCACAGGGCCAATGGCAGAACACACGTTGTCTCACTTGACAGATAAGGAAACCAAGGCCTGGGAAAGTTAAGTCTGTCCCATAAGCTCGCAAACAGAGGCAACATTCCAGCCTGGACAGTTTGACTGTAGGGCTTTGGACAAGATACTTAATCCTCCTTCGTCTCAGCTGACTCTTACAGAATGATACAAAGTAATGGCACAAACTCACTAAGCTTCCCATGTAGTGTCTGGCACCTAGTAGGCTGTCGGATGGCAGCTACAGAGAGGAAGGCGGCTCCCTAACCATTGGGCACAACTTTATTAGAAATAACTGCCCAGGCTCAACTATTAAAGCAGCCAGGGATTTCAGGGACTCCTGAGAAAAGTATTGATCCACTAACGACCTGCCTAAATCACTAGAAAGCCATCTGCAAACAAAAACGCCCTTGAGAAATCATCAGTTGTCACCGCTCCTTAACCTTCCTGGCCAGTGATGTCAGACAGCAGACTTCATTCCCTAATGTTGTGGTGTCCCCCTCCCCATTTCCTCTGCCTCCCCGCATGCTGGTTAACAGCTTTGGGAACAGGATGCTAACCTTTCCAGAGCTGCCACCTCCCAGCTAAAAAGGAATCCTGCTCAGTGCTGACCCCAGAGAGCTCCAAATCCAATTCATTTTCTCTAAGTCCTAATAAATGAGAAGGAGGCAGGGTGTCTCAGCTCTCGAGTTTCAATTGCACAATCCATCCCGGGGATGTGGCCGTGAGGCTGGGAGCATGACAGATCCATCTCATTAGGCAGTGAATTCATCACATCTTCCATTTCCATTCCCTGCGCTTCCTTGACCAACCCCTGCCTTGCTTCCCTCTCACTAAGCGCTACTCAATGGCCCGTCCACTGGCCAAGCCACAAGACAGTGGACTTAAAGGCTTCACTTGAAAAATACCAGAGCTTTCCTCTTTGAAGGTCTGACTTCATTTATTTCCATGACAAATCTGCAACTCTGGCTGTGCCTGGGCTGCTGGCTGGAAACTGGCAGAGGAAAGAAAACCTGGTGGGGAGAGAAAAGAAAGAAGAGATGAATGAGAGCAATAATCTTACTCTAAACCCACACATCAGACTTCAAGGATCTTAGTCAAATGGGAAAGCAAGATGGCCCCCTTGAGCAGGCTGTGGAAGGAAATCCCCCAAATTTCAGACTGCCAGGACCTACCCACACTCTGTCAGGTCCTGCCTCCCTATGACAGAACAGATCCCCAGCGGGAAGACCTTGTGCCCACCCCAGGCCTGCTGTCTGTGGAGAAGCAAACAGCCCCCTTGGTCCAACCATGGCCACAAGCCAAGGGACCAACAGAAGATTTGGAAAACCCCACAGGGGAAAGCTCAAATTCTGTTTCTGCCTACGTAGCTTTTAAGGAGCTTTAAAGCAAATATGAACTACTAGCTACTCCCAAGTGAGGTAAATGAGAGCTGTAATTGTACATCACACTAGGCCACAATGCATTTCTTGAACACCTTCCCACATTCCCTTTGGAAGCAGTTGCCCAGCTGAGCACCCCTGGGTCTTCCATGAAGACCACTGTGGGAATCCCAGGTGGCTCAAACAAATAAGATCACTCCTTCAGCAGAGGTGTGAAGGTGCCATCTGAATGCCACTCATTATTGTTTTGGGCAATTAAAAAGGACTCCTGAAAGCCCTTGGAGATATAACACCAAAGGTACAAGGAACCAAAAAAAATATAAGTTGGACTTCATCAAAATTTAGAATTTTAGTATTTAAAAGAACACTGTCAAGAAGGTA